TCTCTTTTGGTTTGTTTATGTCTCCCATGTAAGGCTCTATACAGCTTTTATTTAATCTCTCTCTTCTTTGTGTACCCAAAGAGATCATATTGTTTGTTGGTTTTGTTTCGTTGTTTTTATGACTCATTTGGAGAAATGAAAATGCAGCCCCACGTTCACCGCTATAATAAGGCGAAATGCCGTAGAAGATTTCAAGCCAGATGCTTACTTAGCCACGGTTCTCAATTGCGCCATGTGGGTGTTTTACGGCATGCCCTTCGTTCATCCTGACAGTATCCTCGTTGTCACCATCAATAGCATCGGTCTCTTCACTGAGATTGTCTACGTTTCCATTTTCTTCACCTACTCCCCATGGTCTAAGAGAGTAAGTCTGCCCCCAATGACTTGAGTTGTTCTAACTTCTATTTTTTGACCAAATACACGTTTGAACTTATTATATTACAAATTTGTTAGATCTCACCAGAATCCTTAACATCATCCTTAAGTTGAATTAGCGTTCTTTCTTAATGTTTGATTTTGTTGTGAGTGTTATTTCAGAAGAAGCTATTGATTTTTCTTCTCTGCGAAGCTATCTTCTTTGCTTGTGTTGTGGTTATCACGATGAAAGTGTGGCACACTACCAAAGAGAGAACTTTTTTCGTTGGTATTATTTGCATCATCTTCAACATATGCATGTATACCTCGCCATTGACAATTATGGTACGTACATTTCCCATTAACCTATCCTATTCTATAATTGACGTTGTGTTTATGAAATTGCATTCGTTATAATTCAGCGTCTAGTGATCAAAACAAAGAGCGTCAAATATATGCCATTTACTCTCTCACTAGCTAGCTTCTGCAATGGAATCATTTGGGCTGTTTACGCTCTACTCAAATTCGATCCCAATGTTTTGGTAAGAATATATAAATTAAAACTGCAGAAACCAAATTGATTCGATCTGTGTTTCAAAGATTTAAAACATGTGTAAAGAAACTTTTGCAGATTCCGAATAGTTTGGGAGCACTTTCTGGGTTGATACAGCTGATTCTGTATGCCACTTACTATAGAACGACAAAATGGGAGGAAGACGACATCCCGAGGACTTCAGCAGTGCAAATGAACGACGTCGTTTAGTTCCAGCCGGGAGTAATTGGTGTCGACATGTCGTCTGAAGGCTCAGCTAAAATAACTTCTTGTAATTTAATCCTAATCGGTACATTAATTGCTGTGTTTCTTCTTTCTTCTTCCCCCACCAAAATTCTTACAATATTCCTTAGTTCCTTAGTTTACCACTTAAATTTATAATCCTACAGATTACAATGATGTAAACAGTACACCACGTTTATCATTTTATATTAAATTATGAATTTAGATTTTTTGATTTTTTGAATCTAGTAAATTTTTCTATGATCGCCAAGCCTTGTAATGTGTACGTTGATGGAAAAGTTGAGGTCTCAATTTCATGGAAATATTAATAAAAATATCGACAAAATGTCGATGCCAATAGATATTTCTGTAAAAATTAGAAAAATAAAAAATCTTAAAAATTATTTAAATTAATAAAATAAACACTTTCCTATTTCTAAATTAGTTAAAAATGATTAATATTAATATTATGTATGTATTATTGACATTTTATTGATATTTTTCATATTTGTCAATTTTCTTATATCATGATTGGAAATGTCGATTTACCCCTCATATTGATGTCGAACCCATGAAAACATAGATATGTTGAGGGAACTGTCGACATGTCGACGGACATTTAGAACCATGATGGTTGCTAACTCGAGTCTAGCTCAATTGGTTAAGCATGTATCTCAAATCAAAAAATCATATATTCGAACTTTCATTCCTACTTGTCTATATACTAAAAAAATGAAAAATAAATCTCCGGCAAATGTTGTTAATTAAATATCGATGCATGTAATGTGTTGGATTGGACTAATAAATGATGATTTAGTACATGATATGACAAAAGAGGGTAGGTTAGCCTAGACGTCATAAATAAGGATACTAGTGAAATGTGGATCATAAAATGTTCGATTTAAGAAGTATGTCAAAAATCTATTCGATTAAATTTTTTGGCTCATCCTTATTTTATCGTCTACTCTTTATGCCACATCATATCAAATTATCACTTAATTATGCACTGGATTAACATTTAAATTAAACGAATACTGAATTAGAATCAAAACGAAAAGTTTTAAAATGTAATTTCGAAGGAAAAAAAATGTATAAAAAGAAACATGAAAATGGTGTTAAACGTATTAAATTTCTTTTATACTTTTCCAATAGGATAGAAACAGAGAGAAGCCTGTTGGATAAAGTAAGTTGACCATAGGAGTTACTCCTCTGCAAGCAATTGGAGCAATTTTTTTTTTTCCATTTTTCTTTTAGGATAAAATATACTTTCCCAACAAACATTTTTAATCTTCACCTTTATAAAATGAATCTAAATCATAAATGGTCTCTAAAATTTTTATGGTTAATTAACTAACTTTAGCATAGTGTGTGATTGTTAAATTACTGAATGGCTGATTTGGCAATGAGCATTGATTTAATAGTATTTTTGTGGTGATTGGATTATCTTCTCGTCCTCCATCTAGACCTGAAATGAGGGGCAAGCGAGTGGCAGCGAGTTGATGGTCGATGGCGAAATTTGCTAGTGGAAATAAAGGAGAGATCAAAAAGTAGAATAACAAATAAGATAGTCCAATCACCATAAAAATAATATTAAATTAATATATTTTTTTCAAATCAATCATTACACTCACAACAATTTAACAACCGCGTTGAAATGAGTAAACTTCTGATAGACCATTTAATTACAAACCTCAAGATTAACTGTATCCCTTTTGAGATCTAGGGGACTAAATAGAAACATACTACAAACATCAAAATGTATATTTTTACCGTTACTTTTATAACTAACGAGTCTAATTGTCAAAGCGAGCATAGCTCAGTAGTAATAGACATATATCTCCAATCAAAAGGTTGTGAGTTGATCCCCCACCCCACATGTTGTATTCTAAAAAAAACGAGTCTAATTAATTAAAAAAAGTAGGGGTCAATGGTGGAAATTCTTTCCAACTTGTTTTTTATGTGTGTGTGCACGCCCACGTGTGTGTTGGATTTGACATTAAATTACAAAAACGATTGTATATACACATATGCATGAGGATCATAATCAAGCTTTAGATAATAAAATGAGTCACTTATTCATTATATACAATTTAAATAACCTAAATTCAATATTATCCGTTAGTATATCTAACTCAATAGATAAGACACATATTACTATCTACCAAATCCATAATTCAATCTCCACCCTCACAATTATTAAATTAATTAAGAAAAACTAAATATTATCAATATATTTCGAAAAGTATTTTGAAATTTTTTGTTCAAATGTCTTGGGAATTGGGCGATATTCTTTTCTGAATATATACCTCAAACGATTTAGTTATATAAAGCACAAATTAATTTATATGATAGTAAGCAGCCCTTTCATTTTCATTTAATAAATTGGATTGGAAAAAAAGTCAAACGTGTCAAAGTTGGATGCTAATGAAATGGAAATTATGTGTACGTGAGCATTTAATATCCTCATTTTTTTTTTACCTTTTAACATCCTCATCATATATGCTGAAAGCTATTTTTTCCTTTTTTTTCTTTTTCTTTTTCTTTTTTTGGGTTCTTTTTACAAATATTCTAATTTTTCTTGGTTTTAGAAATTGACATCCATGGATAGGCATGTATTAAATATGAAAACAAATTCAATTCAAAAAGTTTGAATCAAACTCTATTATAATATATATTTAAAAAATGAATTCTTTTTTATTCTCTATTGTTTGATTTGTTGTAAGGTGATGGCAAACAAAGTCTGATTGGTTAGGGAAGGGAATAATCATAAGTATATAAGAGATGACAATTATCTCCATTGTTACGAGGTATTTTGAGTGAAATCAAAAGCAAAACCGTGAGGACTATGTCCAAAACGTACTATTGAAATATTTCAAAACATTTTTGTTTTATTTTATAGCTTTCTATGTTGGTAATGATTCCTCACTTTTAATTTGAGGTTTGAAAAATTCTAGTTTGTTGCTATTCAAAATGTCTTTTCTTTTCCATCACTTCTTTAAATATATTTTTCAATTCTTAACATGAATTTTAAAACAAAAACAAATTTATGAATACTACTCTTTTTAATTTTTGAAATTTGTTCAAATTTTTAAAATCTATAATTTACAAAATAAAAAAATTGATTATATTATGCTTAAAAAAACCATGTATATTTAAAACTTATTATAAAAAAATATGCCACAGCTTTTTAATTTTTTTTTAAATAAACATGAGTGTTACTTTTTTGGTGTTTAATTTGGATTATACTATTGTTATAAAATTTCAAACTTTCTCCTATATACATCTTTCTTTTTTTTTTATATTCATGTAAATCCCTCTGGATTTTTTTGGGTTATAGAGCCAAATCGACGTCCGAACAAGTCAGGATGCGTCGGGACATCGAAAGAATGAAAAACAGATGAAGAAGCAGAGCTGTAGGCAGGATGGCTGAGAAGACAGCGCCGTGACACTCTCTATACGTGAGTGGGCGTGTTTTTGCGTCTGTAGCACCATGACACTATGCTGATGTTATAAATTCATTGTTTTGTACGTTTTTAGGTTATCTTTTGTGTTGTTGCACATTAGAGGGTGCCCAGAACATGTAGGCTGGTTCTGAGGCAGAGTGTTGGCAGAGCGATATAGAGACTAGATCTCGAGGTTGTAAAGCATCATCGGCAGCCTATTCTCGTGGGTATTTGGTGAGGTTTTTCATTCTTATTCCTAGGATTCTATTGTTGTAGTTCCTAGAAGCTCGGTAGCTTTTGTCGAGACCTTTAGATTTGAGAGAGTTATTGTATTGTCTATTGTATTATCCTAATATCATAGTAGAACTCATTGTTGTGGAAGACTGTACGTAGCCCATAGTTGAGGTAAACCAGTATATATCTCTTGTGTCGTTTACTGCGTTTTCCCTATATTTCTCTAATTATTGTGATCGTCTTGGTTTTCACTGAAGAACTATGGAAGAGGAAAATATTATTGGTAAGTAATATTCCGAACAATTTTAAGCCAATGTATTAGTTAGATCATAGAATTTTAGCATTCAATACACATGAACTATAAAATTAAAAGATAGTCATCAAACTTTCACAATCATATCTAATAAGTTATCTGAACTTTCAACGATCTAACTACTAGAGACTTTTAAACATATCAGAATAACAAAAACATAGTAAAGATAGCACATAAAAAGGACATATTTATTAGTCACGGGACAGACATATTTGTAAAACATTGTACTGGGACGAAATTGGTCGTTACTGAAAACTAAAACTACATTAAAATTTAGACATTACGCGTTTCACGTCGGGGGCCACACAATCTTAGTCTATGTTCATCCACTGAAGAAAAATAAAAAGAAAAAAGATTCAATTCTTCGAATTTCTTTTTTCTTTTTTCCTTTTTGCTAATAATTCGTTTGCTGACTGATCCTCCCAAAATCCAATAAGTTTTGGTTCACCAGTTCCTGCAGTCTTTTCTCTACTCTCGAAGTCTCTACTCCCACTCGAGAAATTTTCGCCTGCAAAAATTTAATTAAATTACTAACTATACTATCTAATAAATCTTTGAATGATGCTGGATTTTTATTTTGTATTTTGTTAGATACCAAGTCGAAAAGTTGAAATTGAAAATTCAAATATTGATAAGACATGAAATTCAAGTATTTGTTAGACACAACATTTTGAACTTTGGATCCTTAATTTGTAGAAATTTACTGATCTAATAAAAGTAATTGAAATTCAAAAAATTTAAGATGCATTTGGTTGCTAATCGGAAAACAAAAATTTGAAAACAAGGATTCAATGAAAACAGAGTTGTATCCTTAATCTCACCTTCGAAAATTGTTCAATATATACTTAGTAATATATTTTTAAACTAGGAGTAGTTATAAATTAAATATTTTTTTTTTAGTCTAAATTTATATTAATTAATTTATTAACATTTTTTTTATGAATTTTATATAAATATTGTTCTACGAGGTTATATAATTTAAAAAACATTATATCTAACCTATTTTAATTTTAACGAACCTAATAGGAAGTAATATATTTATCAACTTTTGTTTATTTTATATTTTTCGAAATACTAGAAGATCGAAAACATAAAAAAGTCGTTTTCAGAATTCCTACTGTTTGGTTCACACGATCTGAAAAGGATTCGAGTTTCCAACCAAACCGACCCTTAAAAGCTTTCAATTTAACAAAATATTAATTTACTGTAACTCATGAATTTAAATTTGGGACCTGGATATGGAGAGAGTGGAAGAATCTTGCCACCGAGCGTGGAGAAGCTTGCGTTGACGACTTGGCCTCCTTCCTCCTCGACGATGGCGATAACTTGGCAGAGCAAAAAGTTTCTGTTGAGGTCACTGATGAGCATTACTTCAATGACGCTGCCCAAGTCTCTGAGTTCAACCACCGGCAACGTGGAGCCGCCGCCGCCGGGACTCCGACTTGCTTGATGATGATGATGATGATGTGTAAATTCTAAAGCTCGTTTCTTTTTCTCCAATTTCTCCACTCTTTCTTTTAGTTCGTTTATGTACGCGATGACGTAGGAGATCTGATTCTGTTGCGAGAGCAAATCCTGTGAAAAAAAGATACCAAAAACAAAGCTAACTATAATGAGCTTCAGAATTTGATTACCGATTGGAGAAGTAAACAACTACAGTATTTTTACTTATAAGTTGACCTCTTTTTCAAACATAAAAATTAACCTTATAAGATTATAAGGTTAAGTATTTGGTCTAATAGTTGTTTGAATTTTTAAAAGTATTTAACAAGTTTTTTAATTTTTAATTTTGTATCTAATATTACTTACCCTTATTGATACATACATTTTTTTCTTAAATTTGATGACTCCCTGAACACAAAACTAATATGAATTTAAGAATTTATTATACACACAATTAGATAGGACTATCATAAAGTCCATGGACCAAAAAAAATATGGTACTCTCGTGCCATACCACCACAAATTTAGTCTAAGTTATTACAAATTAATAAACCTCGCCAATAAAATATTCTATGCACTAACCAATTGATATTAGGTATATCTACAAAAATAGTTACTTTTGTAGTGAGATATATTAGTAATATACTTGATCAAAGACGATACATAATGATGTAATATACATCACCACTCGAGACACTACAAGAATTTTTGGCACTGCATTGGAAAAAAATTCTGTTGCTGACGCTATGCAAAAACGTCTGGATAGACACCATATATCCCGACGTTTCACTTTTCATTAGCATGGGGTTCTTCCGAAGGCCCTTTATCCGACAAACTTCCCAAGGAAAAAAAGATAAAAAATTTTGTGCCGGACGTGTGTATATATGAAAATTGTTAGGGAAGAAGAGAGGGAAAAAGTGAAAGTTGCAAGTTAAGCCAAAAGAAAAGAAAAAGGGAGAGAATGAGAGAACCTTAGAGATTTTGAAATGGGACGGAGGAATAAGCGAAACAAGCTTCGAACAGAGAGATTTCATGTGAACTCTGCGGTTTTTCTCGATGGTTTTCCGGTCGAGTTTCAAAGAAGTTTCTGCGCCGCCCCTTTTCGCCATCGCCCGTACGTGTGAGAGACACAGAAGTGATTTGGGAGGGAGCGGGGCAACGGGGAAGCGCTGTTTTATAGTGTCATGAAATCCCTGCATAAAAAATAATAATAAATAAATAAAATCCATGCACAGTTGTTAGCTTTCGCTTCTGGGTGGTCTCCCACTTTGACTTTGACTTTTGCCAAATTCTTGTCCTGCCCATCCCCGCGCTTTCCAGTTTTAATCCCCACCGACCACGTTCATTGTGCAGTAAAAATCTTTTACCACATGTTTTCTGAAATTTTCAAAAATATAGCACAATTTTAATCTAATTTTAATAAATATTTTAGTTATATTTACAAACTATCCCTTATTATTATTTTCTCAATATCTTTTTTTTTTCAGAGGTATTTGCTCGTTATTTAGTTCCCTGACTCTCTCTTATTTATTTATTTATTCACCTGTACTGTCAGAAAATCAAATCATAAGGAGAAATGAGAAACAAGAAATAAGAAATGTAAACATTACCAAGTAAGCTTTAAAGTATTTTAACTTTTTGTGTCTAATAAGTCTATGTGTTAACTCAGTTAGTTTAATGATTACACCGTACCACCAACCGTTTAAACCTGCCCGATAATAGCTTGCCATGTTACTCTTACCATATACCACATAGACGACTTATTTAACTTAAAATTGAAAGTATGAGCGAGGATCACATTGGACACAATCTTAAAGGTTGAAGAATCATCAAACTTGTAATATTTAACCCATACAAAAATTTACCTATTCATCACTAAATAGCAAATTTTGTTAACTACGGGCTTTCAAAGGAGTTCACCTACGAGGAGATTAAGTTGGCCATTAAAGATATGCATCCCACTAAAAGCTTCGGGCTCGGTTGGGATTCAATTCTTTTTCTATTAAAAGTAATGGGACATCGTGTGGGAGACGAAACAACTCGCATTTGTTTGAAGGTTCTAAATAGTAATTTTGATGTGGGACAACTTAACAAGGACTTTCATTGTCCTAAGTCTAAAGCGGAAGGATCACGTGTGTATGAAAGAGTTCACGTCAATTAGTCTTTGTAATGTCATATATAAAGTCGTTGCAAAGACTTTGGATAATAGATTGGAACGAGTCTTGGATGACACCATCTCTCCAACCCAATCGGTGTTTATGCTTGGAAGATTGATTATAGATAATGCGTTACTCGGGGCATTCTTTGCAAAATAAAAAAGTAGGCAAAGTGGGAGCAACAACAGTTAAGCTTGATATGTCCAAAGCTTATGATAGAGTGGAATGGAAGTTTTTTAGACTGGTGATGGGAAAGATGGGGTTCTGTGACAAATGTATTGATCTAATAATGAATTGCGTGGAATCGGTCAATTTTTCCGGCTTTTATTAACGGAGTGCCTGGAATGTCTTTCAAGCCAAACAGAGGGCCTTAGTGAGGGAGACCATTTATCCACTTATCTTTTTATGTTGTTGTTTTGAGGGTTTATCTACTCTTCTCACATGAGAAGAAGAGAAATACAATTTTAATAGCTTTTGTATTAACAAATATATTAGCCTCATTTTCTTCGGTGTGACTTGGAAGGATTGTCAAACTATTAAAGGAATACGTAATACCTATGAGAAGGTTTCACGTCAAATCATCAATTTTGAGAAGTCCATGTTTATTACAAGCAAGAATACGAGCCAAACAATGAGAACAAAACTTAATGTCTCTTTCTCCTCTCAGATGGGATAGTATCGGAGACTGTCATTGCAAGTTTCCAAAAACAGCGTGGGATTGGATGTTGGATAATGTAACCATGGAAGAGCTTGAGGTATTTATGATTTGCTTGTGGACGATTTGGACGCATAGAAATAATGTTATTTTCTATTGGGGAGCAACCCAGTTCGCAAGTTCTTCTCATCAATGCTAGGAAAATTATTTCATAAAATGGCACAAGAATGGAGTCGTGAACGCTTAGTATAGTCCTAAGTCACAAAGTCGGCCGAGCTCCTAAACCAAGAATGAATTGGAAACCCCCCTTTTATATACATAGACTTTGTGCCAAATGCGACTTGGTCGAAGACTCACCAGAAGGGGGGTTTAGGATGGGTTTTACGGAGTTGGGAAGGTGTTGTCATTCTTGCGGGTAATCAGTTCGTCAGTATTTGAAAGAGTGTGAAGATGCGAGAGGTAATGGCTATCCTGGAGGACTTGCAAAACCTGCTATTTTGGATGCTCTACCTCATTAGAGTGGAGACTAATTCGATTGAAGTGATGAAGTTGCTGTGAAAAGAATAAGAATATCTCATTGAAATAGCGTGGATTGTCAATAAAATTATGAGCGTGAAGGATCCTCGTAGTGTTATCACTTACAATAAGGTAGACAGGAGATAAAAAAAATTTGTGCCCATTTCCTTGCGTTCAGGGGCTCTCAAGGGAGAGGAAAGTTTTTGGTTAGGAGCTTGATATCTCAGGTTGGCTGACCAATGATCAATCAAGGTTGTTTGGAAATATAACATTGGCATTAAATAGCACATTTTACTTAGTTTTATATTGCAATTTATTTCTATCGAGTCTATTTATATTAAATTTAATAAATAATGATATTCCAGTCATATTTTTTACCTTTTAAATTTTTTTAATACAAAAAATATGATACTGAAAATTGAACTTCCTACCTCTAAAGAATGAATAAAGTATCTTAATGCATCACTGAACTAAAATTATTGTTGGCTTTGTCATGTTAATTGGTTTATTAAAGAAAAAAAAATAGTTTAACATGCATCCTACGCTTACTAAAGTGATATTATAATTTATGAGGTTTCATCTCAAAATAATTGAAAATAAGAAGAGTATTTCATATATAATATTATAAACCTTTGGTGTTAGGTTTTTTTTAATATTTAAATTGTGGGATCCTTAACATGATAATCCTATCGTAGGAGGGGTGATTATTCAATAATTTTTTCTTCATTATATTATACCTCAAAAACTAAGTATTTAAGAACTTATTTGGTAACGTTCATTCTTCTGTTTCTAATACTTTTAAAAACGTTCTAAAAATTGTATAAAAATACTGAAAAAGGAAGAACAACAAGTAATTACTTAATGCAATTATAGTTTTATTGATTATAAAAGAGAAAATAAGAAACAATAGGCTGAAACATAACCAATGAAACATAACCAACATGCTTAAAGAAATGCTATTTGGAAGTGATGTTTAAAAGTCATTAATGTTTTTTCCTTTAAATTTGGAATTTTATTTGATAGACTAATATTTTTTTCAAAATTGTGTCGTATTTTAGATTTAATATAAAGAAAAAATAAAAAAATACTAGAATGAAATGTATATTATTTTTCAAATTGAATACAAGATTTTGTTTGTTTTGAAATTGTGTGCTAATAAATTAATAAATTTAGAAGATGTGTCATGAATTTAACCAAAACGAGCATAATTCAGTTGTAATTGATATATATCTCCAATTAAGAGATTGTGAGTTCGATCCTTCAATCTATATTGTAAAAAGAAAATTAAAATGTCCAAAAAATACTTACATCTAATTTAACGCATAGAAACATTTATAGAAACATAAAGATTAGCTTATGTAAAATCCTTAAAAGATTAATTAATAATTAAAGAGAAAAATTATAGGAAAAGACGTAAGTGCAAACGTCATCGAAATAAGGAAAGTGAACGGAGAGTTTCCATTGTGTGCAGTGCGCCCCACCATAATCCAAATTCTAGGGGATCTGCACGTCCTTTTGGCTTTATTCGTAATTTTATTTGTTTTTCTTTCAATTATTCCTAGTTTGATAATGATTGTTTTTTGTTTTTAATTTTTAGTTTTCTCGTTAAAGTAAATAACAATTTTTTATTTTTTATTTTAAAAAGTTAAGAAAACTGAAAAATATACATTAGAGAGGAAAATTTCTATATAGAATATACATGACAATGGTATGAGTTGAAATACTTTTCTATTCTCGTGCTCATAAAAAATTTTAGTACTCATTTCTATATCATTTTTCGATTCAAGAATCGAGATCCCATAAAAAATACTGTTTTTATAATTAAATTTAATTATTTTTTAAATTTAAAAAATACAAAATTTAATAAATATATATGGATTATTTTTTAAATTATTTAATATTTTATTCACAATTTAGTAAATATGTCAATAAAATATATATTAATTATTTAAAAAATGGAATTGGCCATGACAATTTTGTCATCCCTATTGTAGAGACTTGAAAATATAAATTTAGATAGATGTAAATAAACTTTTGAAATATAAATTTAGAGATAAAGAAAAAGATTTTTTAAAAAAATTAATGAAAGAAAAGTTAAAAACGAAAGAAAATGTATGTTAAAGATTAAAAAAGAAAAAGAAATTAGAAAGATAGAAAAAAATTATCTTAGGGAGAATTTTGAGATAAAATTAGATTATGGAAAGAAAGAAAAGTCATAAAATATGAAATTTTGAATGGATAAAAGCTTGAGAGAATATGAAATTTGTAGAAAAATAAATGAGAGTAATCTCTTAAAATAAAATAAAAATAAAAAAGTAGAAATAAAAAATTTGAAGAGAAACACGTAACAATAAATAATTAAAATTTTAATGAAAAAATAATTTTTTAAAAGTGATATTTACGAAGAAAAAAACTTTAGAGTTGAGAAAGAAAATTGAAATTTACCTAGAATTTCAAAATTCTTTGTTAAAATTAAAAATAGAAAATTGAATTGGACTAAAAATAAAAAAAAAATAAATAACAGAAAAAGGTTGTCGATAATCTTTTTGTCATTATTTGAAGCTTCTAGATCTAAAGCAACACTTTACCCGAAAAAACAAAGAGTATGATATATTTTGTGTGTTCCCATTTCGCTTTCTGATAACTCATTCACTACCATCGTTATCAAAAGAGAGGATAGAAGAATTAATTAGTTCATTTCTTTTGACCTTTTCTCGTGTTATTTTTGTATTTTCAGAAGTAGAAAAAGAAAAGCTTAGAAACTGGAAATATTTTAAAATTT